GTGTTGACTTGACATTGAGCAGGTGGCAGGCCATGCACGCTGACTTGGGCAGGAGCGCGGCTGGACTGTAAATTTGGGACCCACAGGCCAATGGCATGTGACAGGGACGTGGCTGGTTTTGCTTTTAACTTTTGTTTTTCTGGGAAACTCTATCTCTCCTACTCTAAATGAAAAGCTTGCTGGATAAAGTATTCTTGGCTGTAGATTTTTTTCCTTTTAGCAGTTGGAATTGATCATGCCACTTTCTTCTGGCCTGCAGAGTCTCTGCTGAAAAACCCACTGATAGTTGTATGGGGCTTCTTTTGTATGTCACTGCTTCCCTTTCTCTTGCTGCTTTTAAAATTCTCTCTTTATCACTACTTTTGGCCATCTTATTTACTTTGTGTCTTGGTGCAGACCTCTTTGGGTTGGTTGTGTTGGGGGTTCTCTGTCCCTCCTGGATCTGGATTTCTCTCTCCTTCCCCAAATTCAGGAAATTTTCAGTTATTATTTCTTCAAGTAAATCTTCTGCCCCCTTTTCTCACTCTTCTCCTTCTGGGATCCCTGTCATGCTACTGTTAATGCTTGACAGTGTCACTGAATTCCCTGGGTCTATTCTCATTTTGCTTATTTTCCCCCCTCTCATCTGCTCAGCTTGATTACTTTCCATTACTCTGTCCTCCAGGTGGCTGATTTGTTCTTCTGCTTCCTCTTGTTTGCTATTCATTCCAGGTGGTCTATTTTTATTTCCATCTAGTGAGTCCGATAGCTCTAGTTGGTTCTTTTTTACATCTCCTATCTCTTGGTGGAGGGTCTCAAAGAGGTCCTGCACTCTTCTCAATTCTAGCAAGTATCTTTATGAGCATTACTCTAAATTCTCTATCAGACATATTAATTATCTCCATTTTGTTTAGGTCTCTTGATTTTGTTCTGCTCTTTCATTTGGGACATATTCCTCTGTCTCCTCATTTTGTCTATTTTTGTGTCTGTTTCTATGTGTTAGGAAAGTCAGCTATGTCTCCTGCACTTGAAAGTAGTGGCTTTATGAAGAAGAGGTCCTGCAGCGCAATGTCTCCTTTTCACCAGAAAATGGTGCTTCAGGGGTGTCTCCTATGTGTGTTGCTATAGGGGTGTCCTACCGTTGTGGCTAGGATGTGTTTGCCTTCAGTCCTGTTGTCTGCGATGGCTCTCTGCCTGTTGTGGGCAGAGTCTGGTGCCTGTGGTGTTAGTGGGCCAGTCTGGGGCTGCCTTGGACTTGTGTTGAGTCAGACCAAGTGTTTGCCAGAGATGAAGTAGCACCAAACTGCAGGCACTTTCCCTGTGTTGTCCCCTGAGAAGCTTTTGTTGGTGGGTGGGGCCTGTAGTAAGACCAGCTGCCTGCCCCCAGCCCACTGCTGGGGTCATAGTCAGACTGGTGTGTGGTTATCTTCCCTCTCCCTGGAGCAGGACTCACTTTGGAGTGATGCTGACCCTTGTCTGGGCTGTGCACACACTGCCAGGCTTGTGGCACTGCTTTGATGGGATCTTGCCAAGAGTGATTGGAGGGGGTGGATCTGCTTCGCTGTGGCCTCTTGTCTACTTTGGGCTGTGGAGTCTGTTCTGCCAGTTTTGGGGTTGCTTTCTGGATTATTTATGCGGATGTGGGTGTTCTCTAGGTAGCCACGAGGCAAGAGGTGAGCCCATGGTCCTCCTACTCCGCCATCTTCCCAGCAGCCTCTGCTTGAATAAATGCTTCTTTTTTTTTTATTTTTAAAAAGATTTTATTTATTTATTTGACAGAGAGAGACACAGCAAGAGAGAGAACACAAGCAGGGGGAGTGGGAGAGAGAAGCAGGCCTCCCGCTGAGCAGGGAGCCCAATACGGGGCTTGATCCCAGGACCCCGGGATCATGACCTGGGCCGAAGACAGACACTTAATGACTGAGCCACCCAGGCACCCCGAATAAATGCTTCTTAATTGGTGCTATGCCTGGGATCGATTTCCAGGGAGTCGAAATGTTGTTTTTTTTTTTAAAGATTTTATTTATTTATTTGACAGAGAGAGACAGTGAGAGAGGGAACACAAGCAGGTGGGTGGGAGAGGGAGAAGCAGACCTCCCGCGGAGCAGGGAGCCCGATATGGGGCTCGATCCCAGGACCCTGGGACCATGACCCGAGCCAAAGGCAGACGCTCAACAAGTGAGCCACCCAGGCACCTGAAATGTTTTTTTTTTTTATCACAATTTTGTCCAGGCTCATTGTTGCTATTTGGGGGGAGGATTTGCTGAGTTCCTCACTCTCCCATTCCAAAAGTCATAATACAGCCCAGTTTGTTTAAAATTGTATTTTTTTTTAAGATTTTATTATTTGTCAGATTGAGAGAGAAAGAGAGAGAGACAGCACAAGCAGGGGGAGCGGCAGGCAGAGGGAAGAAGCAGGCTCCCCACTGAGCAGGGAGCTTGATGTGGGACTCGATCCCAGGACCCTGGGTTCATGACCTGACCCAGAAGCAGATGCTTAACCGACTGAGCCACCCAGGCATCCCTAAAATTTTGTTCTTAAGCTCTATTCAAAGTTCTCCTCCCTGGCCCCTGGAGCAGACTAGCTTGGTTGCACTAGAGACAGAGTGGAGGCTGGGGTCTCCATCTGGTCCTCACATGCCTTCTCTCCTCTCTTTTTCGAGGAGTTAATTCCTCTGGTGGCATGAGGACAGGGAGGAAGGGAAAAGAAAAAAGCAAATTTTCTTACCTACTGGACAAGGTTGTAACCTCTCTCTCTTGGCTCTGCTGTTTCTCTGGCTAATCCAGCCTGGCCCCAATGACTTCAGGGTGGCAGATCTCTATTTGCTGACTCTCTTAGGGAGTATATGTGAAAATTCTGGAAACATTCTTTTGGGGGCCTGCCCACTGCTAATATATTTGACATGGAGCTTTGGCTCTGCTTCAACTTCTTTCATCCTCACCCCTTCAATGGTTAAGAGCATTGTCTCTGTAGCCACACTAACCTGGTTTGAATCCCAGATGTACTACTAACACACTGCATGCCCATGCAGCTGCACCCTAGCTGACTCTAAGCTAAGGTGGGTGATGGTCTGGTGAGGTCAAAGGAAAGACCCAGAGACAGTGATTGAGACGTAGGTTTACTGGGATAACTTATGTATGGGGAGTCCAGGAGCAGCTGACCAGATAAAGCATCCACTGCTGGGATCTACATGCAGCAAATTTTATATAATAGCAACTTAACTTAGCAATTATCAGTGGCCCTTCCCCTCTTTGCACAACCAGCGTTACTGAGGAGATTGAGGCCTGCCACCTGGACACTCTTCATTACAAGGGAGACACTCTGGGTTGGCTGCCCCCAGGTCCTGACCTTGAACACTGAACAACACATTCTGCTGCACATTCTGCTTGATAGGAATGTAGTCAGAGGACAAGATCTCTACATTTTCAAGATAGTGATAAACATGGGCATTCAGGGTACGCTTGCACAAACTAGCTATCCAGCGTGTACCGTACAGTGACCATGGGAAAGTAACTAAACCTCTCTGAATCTCAGTGTCTTCACCTGTAAAATGGGGGGGGTATGTAGTAATCATATTTCATTAGGTAAGGCTGTGTAAGATACAGTCCCAAATCTCAGTGGCATCTAAAAGCAAAGGTTTATTTTTCACTCCTGTGACCTGCTAGATGTGGGCTGCTTTGCATTTCTTTTTCCTTCCAGGACCAAGGGGGTGGGAGCAGCCCTATCTGGACTAGCCATTCTCATGAGAGAGGAAGAAGATCAAGAAAGTGATGGAAATACAGAATGGCTCTTAACACTTTTGCTCAGATGTGGTGGAAGGTCTTCTGTTCCCATTCCACGGGCCAGAGCAAGTCACATGGTCAAGCTTGACATCAGTGAGGCTGGAAAGGACACTCCTATAGGAGGCATTGCAATCGCCTGGCAACAGGTAGTGATGTATAATCCTTAACAGGAAGAGCTACTTAATGGTTGGGAACAAGACCACCTATCACAGGATAATAACAGCACCTTCCTTATAGTTGTTGTTAAGAATGAAATGAGGTGAAGCACGCCCAATGCATGACAGTTGTCTGCACTTAATAAGGGCTCAAGAACTGTTAGATAGTATTATTATTACTTCCTGCTGCTGCTGGAAGTTTTCCCATTCACTAAACTGGGCTAAAACCCGACTTGAGAAGAGAAAAAGGAGTTCTAATCACTCCCAATATTCAATTGGAGAAAATAAAACACTGAGTCTAAGGGCACAGGCTTTGGAGTAATGTGGACTCCTCATGAAGACAGATGATCTTAGACAAGTTACTTAACCTCCCTGAGCATTAGTTTCATCAACCTGAAAATGGGGATCCCTGGGACTATGTTGTAGGCTTGCCATTAGAGCCAAATTAGCCTGATCCTGTGCACCATAGTAGGAGCTGAGTATTTAAATACTGATGTGGATTTTAGATTAATTTCAAATATTCAATGAACTGTATGCATAACATAACTACAGTACTGCTGGATAGAAAGACCCTTTACAGGTCTTTTCCATCTTTTGGGTCTCAGCTCAAGTGTCACCTCCTGAGAGAGACCTTCCCTGATCACACCATTTTTAAAGTGCTTCCCCCACCTCTTAAAACTGTCTCCATCACTGGTTTATTTAATATCTGTCTCTGCTACTAGAAAGGAGGCTCCGTGAAATCAGAGATCTTGTTTTCTGTATTCCCATCCCCCTGGGTCCTCAGCATTCTCATCCGTAAAACTGGCAGGCGAAGGAGGAAGAAGGAAAGGTGAAGGCTGTCGGGTCCACTTGGGTCTCACTCCCCGCCCAACTCTGACCTACAATTCCTTGGGGGCGGGGCACCGCCTGTCACCCTCGCGTGCGGCAGCGGGGTCCCGCCCCCTTAGTGGGCGTGGCCTACAGTGTCCTGCCGGCCGCGAGCCGGCCGCCTCCGCGGGAAGAGAGCTACGTCACACGCACCAGGCGGAAGAAGGGCGTGGCCAGGAGCGAGGCCCCCGTAGCCGCCGGCGCCGCCGCCTGAGTCGCTTCCAGGTGGCTGCTGTTGGTCCGGGCCGCTCAGGCAACTCGAAAGCCACTCTGTTTTGGGGTCCTCGCCACCCTTCCACGTCTCCCGGAAGAGTAGCAGGGCCGTGGCGGGGCCAGGACCAGGCTTACTCAGCCGGGCCCTCTCGGCTGCTGAGGTGGGGGGCAGCCCAGGAGGGCGACAAGACAGCGGTGCACCCGCTCTAGAGTCCTCAGGTGAGGCGGCAGCGTGAGTCCTGTAGGCCGGACGGGTCCGCCTGGTGCGTTAACGGCCTTAGGCGAGGGGCTGGCCTCCCCTCCGCGGAGACTCTGGTCTCTCAGCTTTGGCGCGCGGGGTGGGGGGGCGCTTAGAGAGGGGGCAGGAGAGCTCAGCAGGTGTTGTTTAGTGCCTTCCCCTCTCCTCCCTTCTCCCGCCCCAGCCTGGTTTGGCCGCTCCTCCCGCTCCAGAGGCTCTGCGAGGGGGGTGGGGAGCGAAGTGGGGGTCTGTAACTCGGTTACCTGGGATCCACTGATGACAGACTCCCTGGGACCCACCGGCTGACCCCAGCCTCTCTTCCTCTGTGTTGACACTTGGCCTTCGAAGCAGGTCCTGCCACTGCTGTCTGCGGACCCCTCCCCGTGCCACGCACGGTCACCCTCTCTTCACCGCCGTGTGGGTCATTTCCTGGGGGCAGTGCTTGAGAAATTACTTGAGGGCTCTGTACCTCTGAAGTCCGCTGGAGTTTGTCCCTGGAGCAAGTGCCAAGGATCCATGTTTGTATTTAAATTGGGTAATCAATATTAAGGCACGGAGTTTTGTTTTAAAGCCCTATTGACTTTAAAATGGGAGGCGAGATATAGGTGATTAATAAGAGTGTTGCCACCCAATCACCACCAATGTCTATTTGAGAATAATACTTTACATCTGAAGGGAGTTTTATATGTTACAGAGCATTGCACCTCCATTTTCATTCGATGACACATAAACTGTGAAATACACAGGCATGTAATAGTCCCATTTTGTAAGGAGCAGATTTAGAGGGTGAATTTCTTCATGAGGTTATTCAGATCCTGAGAGGCTAGATGGGAAAGGCAGGGGTTAAAAAAAAGTGGGTTTGGCTGACTTAGATTTGAGTTGCTCAGCTGCCATCTAAACTTGGGGATCTTTCTAAATCTTTTCCCCATTTGTGGAAAAAAGATATTACTACTAACCACATAATGTGGTTGTGAAAATTATGTGTGATAAAGGTAATGAGACAGAAGAAAACCATATAAAACATGAAGGGTTGTGAGGGAAAAGCATAGCATATGAACAGAGAATGACACAACCCAATCTAGATGGAAAGAAAGAGCTGTGTTTTGGAACCGATGACATTCAAGTGGAGACTAGAACAAGAAAGAGTTAACAGTGAAAGAGCGTTCCAGGCAAAAGGAACAATGTGCACATTCAGGAAATGGTTGTTGACTTTTTTATATAGTACACTTCTATATCTATAAGGACTAATTACTTCATCATTCTGATTCATTCTGGCACACCAAAAGTACTCAGGTCTATTTATCAGATGAATGGCTATGCAGTCATTTTTTTAAAAAATTCTGAACTTAGCCAATGTGCACATAGTGGGTACTCAGTATTTAAATTATTGTAGGTGTACTTTACACAGATTATATATGTGCACACCTAAATTATCCATAATTGTGCTGCATTTTAACATGAAGATGGATTTAGTATCAGAAGTTTCAAGTTTTAGCACCTTGAAGCAAACTCCAGGGAATTGTTTTTATTTGGCTGTACTGCAGTTTTGCCATATTGATGATTTGCTATTTGAATGTTTTTGCTATGTTAACATTTGCCTTTTGTTGAAATAGGAGTTAGTAGTGATAGGTGTAATTACTATGCTAATAGCAACTACTAAAATGAGTGTCTACTGTGTGTCAGGCATTTTGCAAAGACTTTTTATATATATTATTTCATCTTTAAACTGTCCTATAATGTAAATACATTTATTTTTCTCATTTTCTAGATAAAGCTTCTCACTTTCAGTGAAGTAGTTTGCTCAAGGTTACATAGTAAGAGGCAGAGTTAGGCTTTCAGTCCAGGACCGTGTGACTCAAGAGCCTGGTCTTAACTGCTATGCTCTGCTGTTCTGCCATACTGATCCCTTTATGTCCTTTTTACAGGTTCACCAATAGGATTATTCTGCTACCATCATGTCTTGGTTTGCTGATCTTGCTGGAAAGGCAGAAGATCTTTTAAATCGAGTTGATCAAGGGGCTGCAACAGCTCTCAGTAGAAAAGAGAACAGCAGCAACATCACATATAACAAAAATGCTGACTATCCTGAACTTCAGCAAAATACGGATTTGACTTATCAGACTGGATCCAAAGCTACATATATTTCCTCAGCAGCTGATAACATAGGAAATCAGAAAGCCACTATCTTAGCTGGCACTGCAAATGTAAAAGTAGGATCTAGGACATCAGCAGAGGCTTTCCATCCTGTTGAAAACGCATCTGTTCCTAGGCCTTCATCCCAGTTTGTTCGAAGAAAAAAGTCAGAACCTGATGATGAGCTGCTGTTTGACTTTCTTAACAGTTCACAGAAGGAACCCACTGGGAGGGTGGAAATCAAAAAAGAAAGGAGCAAAACACCTGTCCTTCAGAGTTCTCGGACAGCAGGTGTCAATTCTGTGAACACCAGCCTAACTGCCGTCAAAACCATTGAGGAAAATCCTTCTGGGAGCCAAAGAGATGGTAGTTAATCGGCCCTCTGTTTCTTTTAGAGTTAAGCAAATTGGATGTGTTATCCTAGTCTAAACGTTTTGGTAGTGTTTCCCATCCTCTGTTTTGTTACCTTTCCCCACTGGTGTAAAGGCAGTCTCTGAAACGTGTGGTATAAACCAGGGAGACGACGTGGCATGCTATTAGTCAGTATACAGTTACAATAGGGACCTTTAAATGCTGTCTGTTGGGTAACTTTACCCAGCCTAACATCTAAGAAGTTCTGTCCAGAATGGTTTTTTGAGATATTTTAAAATAAAAAAGGACAGTTTTGAAATCTGAAAGAAAACAGTTTAGTTTGGGATTTGGGACTATCTCATTTCTTTCTGGGATTATAAAATAGGAGGCTGTACTTCACATATATTCTGGATTGTGAGGATTTTCTTGTGTGTGTTTTTCTTTCCCCCTTGCATCCCTCAGAAGTAAAGCTGAGAGACCGAACCTCAATCCAAGTTAAAGGGTTGAAGGCATTGACCTGGTGGTGAAGTAACAGTTTAGAATTCTGGTATTCAATTGTTTAATTTGCCATGAAATTACCTCTACGTGTATATCTTCTCACCCGCAAAAATGAGGTTAACACGGTAATGTGGCTAATTCAAGTACCTACTAACCATTTTAAAGCTTTATTTATTTATCAGAGAGAGAGAGAGAGAGCATGAACAGGGGGGAACAGCAGGCAGATGCTAAATGCTCCCTGTTGAGCAAGGAGCCCAACGCAGGACTCGATCCCAGGACCCTAGGATCATGACCTGGGCTGACGGCAGATGCTTAACCAACTGAGTCACCCAGGCATCCCCTTACTAACCATTTTAAAGTAGCAATATACATGATAGGTTCTTGCAGACATTCTTTATAAAATTGATGATTAATGGAAGCTTGTTATTTTCTTAAATGTTACAGCTTCTCCCACAGTCTTGGCTGTTGGTGAATAAAAATATGTCTTGTATCTTCGAGATAAAGTGGTAAAGAGACAAGTGTTTGGGGTATTCAAGACCAGATCATGCAGTAGCTGTTCATACTCCTCGGTTTCTCTCAACAGGGTCTGGTGGGTGAGACAGACACGTAAACAGATAATTTACATAAGTATATTAGTATATAGTTTAGTAAGTATAGCGATTGAGATATGGTTAGAGTATTGTGGAGGCACTAAGGAGAAAGTAACTAATTGTCTAAGGTATTCAGCTAAGGATTCATAGAGGGTCTGTAATTTGAGCTGGGTCTTAAAGAAAGAGTAGAAGTTTTCCCGGTGAAAAAGAAGAGGGGTTGGAGACAGCATTCAATGCAGAGATTCTTTAAAAGTTTGGTAGAGTGTCCTGGGAACAGTGCATATGAGATGGACAGCAGTGAAGAAAATGAAACTAGCAAAGAAAGTTGGGAGCTGCCTTTGTATGCCTCTGTTTACATATTTAAACCTATTATTTGTAAACATCATTCTTTCTTAAAGAGTGGTCTCTGAACAACCTGCATTGAAAGTACTTGTGTGATTAATAAAAAATGAATCAGGGGCGCCTGGGTGGCTCAGTTGGTTAAGCGACTGCCTTCGGCTCAGGTCATGGTCCCAGGGTCCTGGGATCGAGCCCTGCATCGGGCTCCCTGCTCGGCGAGAAGCCTGCGTCTCCTTCTCCCACTCCCCCTGCTTGTGTTCCCTCTCTCTCTGTCTCTCTCTCTCTCTCTGTCAATTAAATAAAAAAATAAAATCTTTATAAAAAAAAAAAAAATGAATCATTGAGTGCCTCCCCAGACTTCTTGAATAAGGTTTTTCTGGGGAAGGAGCCGTGGCATGTTATTTTTTGTTGTTCTCCAAGTGATTGCTAGGCCTATGTAAGTGACCCAGTAATGTGATGCTAATAGAGGTCTTTCAAAGAAAGTTGACAGTATTTTCTACTTTTAGGGAAAACCACTTAGATTTAATTGTAAAGGTTGGATCAAAGGAAACCTGGTTGACAGGGAAATGAGTTAGAACCAGTTAATGCATGGGACTTATAATGATTAAGTTTTGTTTCTCTAGGGCAAGATCTCTCAATCTTGGGACTATTGACATTTTGGGTGGAATAAATCTTTGTTGTGGGAGGCTGTCCTGTCCTTTGTAGGATGTTCAGCAGCATCCCTGGCCTCTTAACCCATTGGATGCCAGTGACATCCCCAATTGTGACAACTAAAAATGTTTTTCTTTATTGCCAAATGTCCCTTGGGGAGCAAAATCACCCTAGGTTGAGAACCAGTGCCCTAGGATGCCTAGAAATGTCTTTAAATGGAGTTGCTGAGTTGTAGGGTGTGACAGTGTTGAAGTACACTAGTTTTCTGAAGAGGTTGTACCAATTTATACTTGACCAACTGTGGTTAATACTCCTTTTGCTCTGCATTCTCACCAAGGTTGGATATTTTCAAAAACTTTTTATGTTTTGTTAATCAGGTATGGAAAAGTTTGTTATATTTTACTTTTCTCATTACTAAGGAGGTTGAGCATCTTTTCAAATATTTAACTATTCAGGCTTCATCTTCTGGGAAGTGCCTGTTCAGTCTTTTGATTAATTTTTTCCAATGGATCATTTTTTATATTTATTATTGATTTATAGATATTCTTTATGTATTCCAGAAGGTAACTCTTTCTACACCTCCTCCAGTTTTACCTTGGTTTTTCCCCCCACCTCTCTCTACGGTGTCTCAATAGAGTTCTTAATGTAGATGCATTTATCAATCTTTTCTTGACAGTATGTTTTCTTGTGTCTTGGAAAAATTTTCCCTATCCTAAGATCATTAGGATATTTTCCTATATTATCTTCTAAGGGTTTTATAGTTTTACCTTTCATATCTATATGGTTATTTAAAATTTTGATTTTTTTTAATGAATGGTGTGAGGTAGGCATCTAGTTCCGTTTTTTCCCATATGGGAAAGTCTTTCCACCCCATTTCCCCAACTACCACTGTTCTGATTTTTTTCACCTAGTTTTTGTCCTAAAACTTCATTTAAATGGAATCATGTAGTATGTATACTCTCTTATCTTCAGGTAAGGATTCACAGAGGGTCTGTAATTTGAGCTGGGTCTTAAAGAATGAGTAGAAGTTTTCCAGGTGAAAAAGAAGAGGGGTTGGAAATCTGTTATCTCAGCATCTAGCATCATTCATTGAAAATATTTCCTTTTCTGGGCACCTGGGTGGCTTAGTAGTTAAGCATCTGCCTTCGGCTCAGGTCATGATCCCAGAGTCCTGGGATCGAGCCCCGCATTGGGCTCCCTGCTAGACGGAAAGCCTGCTTCTCCCTCTTTCGCTCCGCTTGCTTGTGTTCCTTCTCTCGCTGTGTCTCTCTCTGTCACATAAATAAATCTTTAAAAAAAGAAGAAAAAGAAAATATTTCCTTTTCCCTATCAATCTGCAATATCACCCCTGGCATATTATCAAGCATCCATCTATACATCGTTCTGTTTTTGGGCACTTAATTCTGTTTCATTGGGTGGTTTTTGTGCCAATGCCACACTACCAATGTAGTTTTATAGTGTTTTGATATCTCCTAGAGCAATTTCTCCTACCTGATCCTTCAAGAATGTTTTGGCTATTCTTGGATTTTTTTTTTTTTGTACATCCATATTCATTTTAGAATTTGCTTGCCATGTTTCACAAAAATTCTGTTGGTCTTTTTATTGGGAGTCCATTGCTTCTGTATGGACAGTTAGTTGAGTGAGAATCAGCGTTTTTACAATACTGAGATTTTTCACCTATTCTAACATGGTATAATCTCAATTCAGTTTTTAAATGTCTTTCATTAAGATTTTATTATTTTCTCCATGAAGGTCTTGCATACTTTTTGTCAGATTATATTTTTTTTGAAACTTATAGATGGTATCTTTTTAAAATTTTTGCTTTTTTTTTTAAAGATATTTTTTATTTATTTATTTGACAGAGAGAGAGAGAGCACAAGTAGGCAGAGCAGCAGGCAGAGAGAAAGGGAGAAGCAGGCTCTCTGCTGAGAAGGGAGCCCGATGTGGGGCTCGATCTCAGGACCCTGGGATCATGACCTGAGCTGAAGGCAGCCGCTTAACCAACTGAGCCACCCAGGCGCCCCATAAATTTTTGCTTTCTTTTGACACACAGCAACCTACATAGCTCTTAATCTTCATATTTTTCTGTACATTCATTTAGATTTCCAACAATACAGTATCTGTGGATAATAACAATTTGTTTTCTTAACCCTTTTATCTTTTTAAAAAAATCTTTTCTTTGCCTCACTGCATTGGCTTGGACAGAAAACCAATTTTGTATCATTGTCTTAAATAGAAGGCTTTGACTGTTTCACCAAATACAGTGTTTGTGTTAGGTTTTTCATAGGTACTTTTTATCAGGTGAAGAATGTTTATATATCTAGTTTGAGTTTTTCTGTTGAATTTTAGCAGCTTTTTTTCCTGTTATGTATGAGATATCGTATGCTTTTTATATATGATTTTTGTTCTTTAGTATTAATATGGTATACAAATCAATTGACTTTTTATAACCTAAAACCAAACTTAACTTTCAGTTTGCTGATATTCTGGTTAGGATTTTTGCATTTATTTCATAAGCAAGATTGATCTGTAATATTGTTAGGTTTTGGTATTACAGTTTTATTAGCCTTATAAAATGATTTGCAAAATGCTCCCTCCTTTTCTGTTGTCTTAATTATTTGATGTAAGATTATTTATTCCCTGATTGTTTGCTGGAACTCGCTGGTAAAACCATCAGGGTCTGGGTTATTCTTTTTGTTTTTTGAAGATTTTATTTATTTATTTGAGAGAGCGCAAGCGAGAGAGAGCACAAGCTGGCGGGGAGAGGCAGAGGGAGAAGGACAAGCAGAGTCCCTGCTGAGAGGGAGCTCAACGTGGGGCTAGATTCCGGGACCCGGGGATCATGACCTGAACTGAAGGCAGACAGCCACCCCGCGCCCTTTGGGTATTCTTAATGGAAGATTTTAACTATTGATTGCATTGGCTTTCCATTTCCTCTGTTTTTGGTGAGTTACATTTTTTCCTAAGAAAAGAATTTGTCTATTCTATGTACACTTTGGGGGATTATATTTATTTTACTTAATTTCAGGAAGTAATGAAAGTGTCACAGCTGAAACAAGCCGAATTGGACCCTAGTCATTCATCATATTAACCCTGCAGAAACCAAAGCTTGATCACAGATACTACCAGAAAAATATCAATATCTGGCACTGTGCTAAATGCCTTTTTTTCAAATGGTGTTAATGAAGTATAACTGACATAATAAATTATACATAAGTATACAATTTGGTAGGTTTCAATGTAGTATACATTTAAAAATTTATTTTATTTTTTTTAAAGATTTTATTTATTTATTTGACAGAGAGAGACACAGTGAGAGAGGGAACACAAGCAGGGGGAGTGGGAGAGGGAGAAGCAGGCTTCCCGCTGAGGAGGGAGCCAGATGTGGGGCTCGATCCCAGGACTCTGGGCTCATGACCTGAGCCAAAGGCAGATGCTTAACGACTGAGCCACCCAGGTGCCCCCATCTAAAAATTTATTGGCATAATGTTGATGATATGTCCCTCTGAATACCATTTTAATTCTCTCTAGCAAGTTTCTTTTCTATTTTGTTAATTTCTGGTCTTTATTAATTTCCGCTTTGGGGTTTATTCTGCTGTTTTTATAACCTTAGATAGAAAACTCTAATTTTCTTCCTTTCATTTTTAATGTAAATATTAAAGACTGTAAATGTCCTTCTAAATATTACTTTATTGGATATATACTTTATTTCTTTTGAAAAATTTTTGTTTTGGAAATTTCAAACATATCAAAGTAGATTTTGATGACTCCCTCCAATATTACCTATTGTCTGGCTATATTAACATGACATTCTTGTTTTATTTATACCTCCCATTTTCCATCCCTCTACCTCTACCCTCCACAGAATTATTTTGCAGCAAATCACAGATCTCATATCATTTCTTCTAGAAATATTTCATTTTATTATCCTAAAAAAATGCAAGCTTTATTTTTTTTATTTATTTGAGAGAGACAGGGAGAGTACAAGCAGGGGGAGGGGCAGCGGGAGAGGGACTGGCAGACTCCCCGCTAAGCAGAGAGCCCAAGCTTGATCCCAGGACCCTGAGATCATGATCTGAGCCAAAGCCAGATGCTTAACCACCTGAGCCACCCAGGTGCCCCAAAATGCAAGCTTTAGAAACATTCATACCATCATCACCCTAAAAATGTAATAATTCCTTAGTATCATCTAGTGCCTAGTCATTATTCAAATTTCCATTTCTCATAATTTTTTCTGTGTGTTGAAATGCACAAATCTTAGCTATACAGATAAATGGCTATACCTGTGTAACCCACACTTTTATGATAACACTTCTTTCCCTCATGTCCCTCTCCAGTTAATCTTTGCATTCCATTTCCCCGCTTACCACTGCTCTGATTTTTTTCACCTTAGTTTTTGTCCTAAAGTTTCATATAAATGGAATCATGTAATATGTACACTCTCTTACCTGACTTCTTTTACTCACCATGTTAGTGAGATTCATCCATGTTATTGGGTATATCAGTAGTTCTTTTTTATTTTGTAGTATTCTACTGGAGATACACAACAATTGATCCATTCTCTTTTATGGGCAGTGAATTGTTTCCAGTTTTGGGTTATTGTGAATAAAGCTGCTATGAACATTTTTGTACTTGTCTATTTGTGGGGAAATGTTTTCATTTCTCTTGGAAATGAAAACCTGGGAGGGGAATCACTGGGCAAAATGGTAGGTACATACTTAATTTCATAAAAGACTGTGAAACCTTTTCCCACAGTGGTTATACCATTTTGTACTCCCACCAGTAATCTATGAGAGTTCTGGCTGCTCCACGTCTTTGTCTGCATTTGGTGTTGTCCTTTTAATTTTAGCCATTCTAGCGGGTGTGTATTAGTTCTCATTGTGGTTTTAATTTGAATTTCCTGGATTACTGAAGATGTTGAGAACCTTTTCATAAGATTATTGATCATTTGTTTATCTTCCTTTGTGAAGTGTCAATTTTTTTGCCCATACAGTTACTTAGTGTATTTTATCATTTAGATACAGTTCACTTTTTAGCACATACCTTATTTTTTTTAGAGTAAGTAAAAAATGCATTTGGGTGGACACTTGGGTGGCTCAGTTGGTGAAGCCTCTGCCTTCGGCTCAGGTCATGATCCTGGGATTGAGCCCCACGTTGGGCTCTCTGCTCAGTGGAGCCTGCTTCTTCCTTTCCCTCTGCCTGCCGCTCCACCCTGCTTGTGCTCTCTCTCTCTCTCTGCCAAATAAATAAAATCTTCTAAAAAATGCATTTGGATCACATTTAGTCCAAAAACAAGATGAATCTGAATTTATGAGTCTCTATCTCTTTGTGTAAGGCATTTTAGATTCCAGTTTGGTATGTAACAAATGGCTCTGACCTATTATTATTTTTTTTGCCTTGAAACCCACAGCTGTTCTTTTGTGCCTTTCTAGTATTTTCATTTTTGAGACTTTCATCTTTTTTTAAGAAAATGCTTTGGAGACAAAGGGGGACTGAAACCCTTTTTACCTAATCCGAACTGCTTAGATTATCTCTTGATTCTCTTCTTTCCAGAACTGTATTCTTGTGTCTGTTCTTTATCACCATCCATTCAGTGTATCCAAATTTTGAGATCCTTAGAGATCTATAGCCTCCATGTAGGAAAATGAAATTTCATCAGAAGGAAATCTCTTGAGAATTTAAGTTTACTTTTTTATGATATTTTAGCTATAGCAGTCAACTTGAGCCAAAAGGCATTCTACCAAAGTAAGCAACTAATGTGTATGTAGTGAGTGTTCCAGTGTAACAAAAATGTTTTCCTTTTTTTACAGTAATGTCTAATAATTCAGATTCTGGCCATGAAGTTCAAGAGGATTCTTCAAAGGAAAATGTATCATCAAGTGCTGCCTGCACTGACCACAACCCAACACCTACTCGCGATGGCAAATCACATGAACTGTCTAATCTTCGATTGGAGAATCAACTGTTGAGGAATGAAGTTCAGTCTTTAAATCAAGAAATGGCCTCATTACTCCAAAGATCCAAGGAAACTCAAGAAGGTAGAGTCTTACTTAAGTTGTGGAGGATTAAGAATTTAACATTTCAAAAATAAACTGAAAACTTGAGTACATTGGAACTTAACAAAACACAAGACTTACAAAATCGTGTTTTCATAGAAATATAGGGCCCAGATTTAGAAATAGAGCAGTCATCCTCCTACCAGTCTGAAACAGAACATTGCCTTTGTTTGGTCATTCCTTAGGAGTCATGAAATTTAATACTTAGAACATTAGTAATTATCTGGTTCATTTGCTCTCTTCTGAACCTTCACGGGGAACTGTTCATGAACCAAAGGTGGGATTAAACAAAGGAGTGGATACCAGTAGACAAGGTCACAGTATTGTACTGCTCCAGGGGATGTAAAGTGACCACGGAATTCAGTTTGAATAATACACTCTTGAAATATGCAGTGAAGTGGCCGTAGAGTAGAAAACTCTTGGATTCCTCAGAAATGGGTAATTTAAAAGTAAATAATCTCATGAATGAGGTGATGGAGGAATATGTTAGTCTTAATATAAGTGTGGCTGAGGGAAAAGAAAAGGGAGAAGAAGAAGTCTCTGCCTTGGGTCCTGGCAGTGATTAGAAAGGAGGGCGGGGACAGTGGGAAAAGTTTTGCCAAGACATGGATGGAGGCCCAGAAGAGTGAAAGAGGAAGAAAGTTGAGGGCTTGTTGGACTGATTTCAGAAAAAGCTTTGCTTTACCAGACTAATAAAGCCCTAGAAATAGAGCTTTTTCTGAGACCCTGTAGAGTTTGCTTCAATATTAAAAAAAAAAATTATTATTTTTTGCCTGTAAACTGCTATCATAGATACGTGAGGGTGTGGAAATCTGCACTGCATTGCTCTTTCTGCACCAGTGTCCTAGGTTTAAAAAATAAAATCTTTCTGCTACAGTAATCAAGAGAAACAGATTCTTTCCTGTGTTTATCTATGGGTTTTGATTTTGTTTGTTTGGGTCTTATACCAGGGTGTATACCATCTACCCTTGATTTGTATTTGCATTCTTCCTGTCTCTAGCAGAGCCCAACAAATCCACTGACTTCTCTAGTGTTCTGAACTCTGCTGTATACTGGGGTGGGCTCCCAAATGCTTTATGATATGTCTCAAATATTTTTTTTTTGTAGAGAGCAGCTAGCATCGTGCCCTTTCCAACCTATTAACTGTGATGTAGATGTGAATGTTGGCCTTGAGAAGTGGGTATCCCATTTGAAGCAAATGATTTGAAGATATTTGTAAACTCTTAATTTTGGCAGAAAGTACTACAGGGAGACAGAGTCGAGTCTCTGTGTGCTCTCAGAAAAGTGTGTCTGCTTGAAGAGAGAAATCTCTCTCTCTCTCCCTCTTTTTTTTTTTTTTTTTTTTTAAGAATTAACCAAAGCAAGAGCAAGAGTTGAAAAGTGGAATGTTGACCATTCAAAGAGTGATCGAATAACCCGAGAGCTGCGAGCCCAAGTAGATGACCTGACTGCAGCGGTGGCTGCCAAGGACTCGCAGTTGGCTGTGCTGAAAGTGAGGCTGCAGGAGGCCGACCAGCTCCTGACCACGCGCACCGAAGCCCTGGAAGCCTTGCAGACTGAGAAATCACGGTAGCTCATCCTAGTGATCATGAGAAAGGGAACTAGAAAGATTCTTCCCCATGCAAGTAATGATAAACACTGTGGTGGTGTATACTACCTTATGAAAACTTAGCTTTTGAAATTTAGAGAGGGAAAATTTATCTTTCGGTACTGTTGTAAATGCGTGCGATTAAAAGTTGATTTATTATTTGAACCTTGAGATGCATTGTTAGCAAATTCTGAATTTAAAAATATTTGAGGAATATAGTGTCCTTAATTTTTTGACATATAATGGTATGTGGTGTGTGCTTATATTTGGATGCCTGAAAATACAGGTTACATTCCATTAAAAGGCAAAAATATTTCTTTAAGGATATTTTAGTCAAACCATCTTTTTTTTTTTTTTTTTTAATTTTAGAGAGAGAGCGGTGGGGGAAGGGGCAGAGTGAGAGAGAGAATCTCAAGCAGACTCTGTGCTGAACGTGGAGCCCAACACGGGGCTCGATATCAGGACCCCGAGATCACGACCTGAGCCAAAACCAGGAGTCAGACGCCTAACCGACTGCACCACCTAGGCACCCCAGTCAAATCATCTCTTTTGTGCTGTCAAGCCAATGCTTTAAAAATTATTCCACCTTGTACACTGTGGCAATAAGTCCTTTCAAGTGATGTCTTTTCTTTTAGAATAATGCAGGATCACAGCGAAGGTAGCAGCCTGCAGAACCAAGCTCTGCAAACTCTTCAGGAGAGACTGCATGAGGCGGACGCCGCCCGGAAGAGAGAGCAGGAGAGCTGTAAACAAATGCAGGTTAGAAAGGCGGAATGCGTTTATGCTGTTTTATAACACATTTACTCTTTAAGAAAATTCTGCAGTGTATTTGAGAAAAATCTGTTTCTGTGACAGAAACCAAGTATTTGAAAATTTAGCTTAAATCTTGCTAAATTTACTTAATCTTATGTATTAGGATACAATTAAAATAAACGTCAACATTCTCTATGATCAACAAGGCATTGGCTGGAAATGTGGGGGCTTTTCTTCTGAGATGGTATTTGAAGGGGCGATGCACAGGTTGGACAATGGTCCTAGAGAGGAGGGATGTTATACTCATAAAAGGGGAGCAGCCCCTCAGCACCCCTTAAAAAAAGGAATACGATTAAAATAGAACATTCAGTAGAGATAGATATTTCTTTATTTAATTTTGTTGTGCAACCAACATTACCATTATTTGATGAAAAACTGACTTGGGGCCTCTTAAAACTAGATGGTGCTGAGAAACTTTCGAATAAAACACTCTGCCAAATGAGGGAAAAAACTGATGTGGGGCATCTTGTTTATTTTTTTATTTAAGCTTTTTCTGATTCTAATTCAATCTGATTCATTTATTTCCAGAGAAAATTGTACGTAAAATGTAGAGTTTTACTCTTAAATGAATTTTTTTGCATCTAGTTCAGTGATTCTTAGCCCTGTCTATACATTAGAATCACTTGTGTAGCTTTTAATATTTTCTGATGCCAGGTCTCTACTCCCAGGGAGTCCGATCCCGTGGTGTGAGGTAGGGCATAAGCAGTGGTGTTTGAGTTTTATACGATTTACATGTATCTATTAGCCAGTGAGGTTGAGAACCACTGGTTCAGACTATCTTTTCAACAGGTGAAAATAGTTCAGCCCTGAAAGTAACTATCAACTAGTGTGGACTTTTTGAAAATCTTATGAATGTATTTTATTTAACACAGCATATCCAAAGTACTTTCATTTTGGGGCACCTGAGTGGCTCAGTCAAGCATCTGACTCGATCTCAGCTTAGCTCTTGATCTTAGGGTTATGAGTTCAAGCCCCGCATTGGGCTCCTAAAAACAAAAACAAAATCAAAGTACTATCATTTCAACATGTAGTTAATAATAAAAACCATTAATGAGATATTTTACATTCTTTTTTGCAAACTGATACTTTAAAATATATTTTATACTTAATTCAGTCATAAATTTGCTTATGTAATACTTGACCTATATTAAGATTTCTTAAAATTTAGAGGTGAAAAAATAATTCACATGCCCAGTTGTTCTAAACATACTCAGAAGTTTTCTACTAACAGTTCCTCAAAAAGTTAGGTGTAGAGTTAGCATATGGCCTAGTAGCTGTGTCCTAGGTGTATACCCAAGAGAATTGAAAATATTTGTCCACACAGAAAATTGTACACAAATGTTCATAGCAGCATTATTCACACTAGCCCCAAACTGGAACTAATACAAATATCCATCAGTTGCTGAATGGATAAACAAAGTGTGGTATATGCCTACAAGGAGATATCATTCAGCCATAAAAAGGAATGAAGTACTGATTCATGCTACAATATGGATGAACCTGTAAGACGTTATGCTAAGTGAAAGAAGGCAGACACTAAAGGCCACATATTGTATGATTTCACTTACATGAAATGTCCAGAATAGTTAGATCTATAGAGAAAGTAGATTAATCATTGCCAGGGGCTAGGAGGAAGGGAGAAGTGGGTAGAGGATCTCCCTTTGGGGTGAAAATGTACTTGATATTAGGTAGTGGTAATGGTTGTACAACTAACTCTGTGAATACACTGAAAACCACTGAATTATACACTGTAAAAGGGTGAATTCTATAGTATGTGAATTATATCCCAATGAATCTATTAATTGAATTAAGTGGTTTTTTTTGAAAGATTTTATTTATTTATTTGATAGACAGCGAGAGAGGGAACACAAGCAGGGGGAGCGGGGGAGGGAGAAGCAGGCTTCCTGCTGAGCAGGGAGCCCGATGCGGGGCTCGATCCCAGGACCCTGGGATCATGACCTGAGCCGAAGGCAGACGCTTAACCATCTGAGCCACCCAGGTGCCCCTGAATTAAGTATTTTTATGTTTAATTAAAGTTAACAGAAAAATTAACTAAAGTTAATAAACAGAAAAATTCAATTCTAGTTGCATTAGGCACATTTCACATGCTTGGTAGACATTAGCATAGTCCTCTCGCTCTTTTTATTCAAAACAGGAGTTAATATTGGGTCGAAGGTTTGTGGCTTTCGTTATTGGTGTGTGAACTATAAATGCTTTCAGACTTCTGCCTCACCTTCTGAGTGTTCTGGTGATGGGAACTTTTGAGAATAAAGGCAAAATATAAATAAGATAGGCTAGTAAGTGATAGGCATGTGTTTTTCTAGAGTGTGCTTTGGATGTTTCTTAAGCTAAAAAATTATATTGAATAGTTCATTTAGAAAATTTGAAATAAAGGGATAATGTTAGTCATGCTATTAAAAAAGATGTAGCTGTTTACTTATCTCTGTGGTTTGCCTTTTTTTTTTTTTAAGATTTATTTTATTTATTTGAGAGAGACTTAAGCAGACTCCGTGCTGAGCACAGAGCCTGACATGGGGCTTGAGCTCCTGACCCTGAGATTGTGACCTGAGCTGAAACCGAGAGTCAGACGCTTAACCAACTGAGCCACCGAGGTGCCCTTTTATTTGCTTTCTGATAGACTTTCTGTTTTATTCATTTATCAGCTAGTATCAGGCTGACCAGATTCACCTTGGAAATTTCTTCAACAGATTTCCATTTCCAAGCACAGTCTTGGAAATTCCAATTCAGTAAGCCTGGGGACAGCTTTGGGTGGCTGTATTTGTTTAAAACTCCATAATTGGGGCACCTGGGTGGCTCAAGTCAGTTAAGCGTCTGCCTTCGGCTCAGGTCATGATCTCAGCGTCCTGGGACTGAGCCCCGCATCAGGCTCTCTGCTCAGCAAGGAGTCTGCTGCTCCCTCTCACTCTCCCTCTGTGCTCTCTTTCTCTCAAAATAAATAAAATCCTTAAAAAAAAAAATAAAAAATAAACTCCTTAATTGATTCTGATGCATTGCCATATTTGGGAGCCAACAACCTTAGATTCCCTATTCTTCAGTTCCTAACAAATGAAGTGTTTGGTTTGTTTTCGTTTTTGTTTTTGTTTTTAACCTCCCTGTTATGTTGTTGGGCTGAGCTAAAAAAAAAACAACAATCCCATAAGACATCTGATTGGATGGTTGTAAAATATATTTCAGAGGAAATGATGTAAAGATATAAAAATTTGTCACAGAGTGAGTTTGCTGCACGCCTTAATAAAATGGAAGAGGAACGTCAGAATTTGGCAGAAGCAGTCACTCTGGCGGAAAGAAAATATGCGGAGGAGAAGAAGAGAGTTGATGAGCTACAGCAGCAAGTCAAAGTGTACAAGTCCAACTTAGAGTCCTCTAAGCAGGAATTAATTGACTACAAGCAAAAAGCTACTAGAATACTCCAAGTAAGCATGAAATGTCTTTTGGATGTTAAGATTTGCCAGGTGGGAGACACTTTTCGACTCCATATAGATCTGCGAGAGGATTTGTTCGTGTTTGGCTGGGTTGGCTCGCTACAGGTGCCTTCCTCCACTTAGAGATATTACAAAAGTTCGAAATGACCCTTGTTGCTGCCGCTTTTCTTTCTTTTTATTTAAAATTCATTCTGCCACAGCCTAGCTCAGGTCTTCACTCGTCACCTTAAGCACGGCACTGTCGACGTTTGTTGTTAAGCAGCCACTTTATTCTTCCCGGCTGGTCCCCCGTTGAGTTTTTCAGAGCAGCTGGTCTCGGCCTCAGCCAGCTTCCCCCGTGTCATCTCATGTAGTCTTGGGCTTCTCTGTCCTTTGCCTCCTGAGGGAACGGTATCCTTTCATCTTTCCCTAGGAGGGTTCCTCTTTGCCATATGTAAGCTCTTCCTCCTGAGTCTGAGTCTGTCCTCTCTGTTTCTTCCACTCTGCCACCTTTTTCTGGCTCAGCTTACTCAAGAGCATATGGTTGCTGGGTAGAAGATCAAAAACTAGATCTTGGAACTCCTGCTTAGGGAAAAAACAATCCTTTGTCTTTTTTGACCACTTGGATCCATTTCCCTGTTCTTTCTTTCGATATCAGACTTAATAGAATTATTGTAAATACGCCGTCTTTATTTTAGAGCTGTTAACTCTAACTCCTTCGTATCATTTCTGTCCCTGATACATTTCTGAAATTGTCTTCCCAGACATCTTTAATGACCTGAATATGTATTTTCTTCCTTTTCTTAATTTCCATCCACTTTGATGTGAGTAGAGCATCGGACACCGTTAGCCCTTCTACCTCCTTAAACTCCTGCCTCTGGTGCTACTCGAGCTGCCCTCTCTCTCCGTCTTCTTTCACTGATCCAGAGTCTCCGGAGACGAAGAGTTCTCTCAAATTCAGTCCCAAGACCTCTCTCACTCCTTACCTGGCATTATCCTATACTCACTGTGCTTCTGTCTGTCACCTCAATGTGACTTCAGCGTGTCTCCCAGCCTAACTTCCTGACCCCGGTTTCTGAGTGCCTGCCAGGCTTCTCTATGTGGGATTCCCCATCGCTCACATCAGCTTCTCCTTCGTTCTCCAATTTTGGTAAATATTATACCTTCTTCCCAGGCAGTAGAGCTTGAACCACGATGACGTTTTGACTCCACCTTTTTCCTTTATCTCCTGCCTCCTATTGGGTGTGAGCACCGTTTTGATTCTACTTTCATGAGACAGCATACCCATCTCCTCCAACCTGTTCTTTCTGATTACTTTTGCTGTGTCACTCTAATTTATTATTGAGCACCTAACTATTCATGAGGCATTATGATAGATGCTGGGGGTGTGTTTTCTTTCTGAAAAGAGCGTTCAGTTAGCAGAAGGACACTGAGGTAATCGATGTGATGAAGTTATTGATGCAGTAAGCCCTTAAAATCTGCCAGGGAATGTCAGGGATGACTGGAGATGCTATATAAAGAGGAACTTGAAGGATGAGTAGGAAGGCTTGTGGTAGGGAAGAGATTTCAGAGAGAATAGCTGTGCCAGAGCAGAGGGGGTCTGAGGGAGCACAGCATCTTTAGTGGATGGCAGCTGGTTCCCTGCCGCTGGAGCATGAAGGGTTAGGGACTAAGACGGGGGGAGAAAAAAACTCAGACCATGGAGGGCCTCGCATCCTGTGCAGAGGAGTTTTGATTTTTATCTCCTAGGTGGTGGTAGGGGTGAGAGGTGAGAGACTGAGCAGCGTGAGGAGTCGCGGTGCAGAGGAGGTGAGGGGAGAGTTGGCATCGGGCCAGGCCCTTAGGAGGTGCTCAGTAGATTGCTGCGGACGTTTATGGGTGAGGATAGGGTGGTGAGAGGTAAAGAGGAGAGTATCGGAATTAACGGTGTGAAGTAGTGAGCGCCTGGTCCAATTTGTGGCAGGGAGGGTGGCAGATGGGACAGCAAAGAGACATGTAGGAGGTGGGATGTGTGACACTGAGGGATTCAACTGGAGGAAGGGGAGCTGCAGGCAGACCTTAGGAGGACTCCGGTTTTCTGGGTTCAGATGTGAGCAGTACGCCCCGTGTAGTGCAGCAGAGACACAGGAAGGACAACCGGCTAGCACTGATGGACTCTGGAACAAGTGACAGTGAGTTTGCAGAACTGACTGCACCGAGTGACACCAAGGTGAAAGTTTCAGGAAGGCAATCAGAAGTAGAGGCCTGAAGCTCAGCCCACGGGTCTGGGCATTAGCCATGTGGGAGCAGAGAGAGAGAATTATGTGTGTTACAGAAAATATGAAACATACAGAGAAGTTTGACGAAGTCACCCGTAATTCTACCACATGAGAAGAAAAACTATTTTTGATAGGGGAGAGTGCCTCTCAGATACTCATATTGAAGGTGAAAGAGCTGATAGTCCTTACTTCTGGCCTAGAATTATAATTATAGCACTTCTTAAACTGGTCTTCCCACATCAAATCTCTTCTACCAACTCATCCTTTCCATCAGGGGTCGCAAACTTTTTCTGTAAAGGGCCAAATAGTACATATTGTAGGCTTTGCAGGTTCTCTGTGGTCTCCATTGCATACTCTTTGTCTTTATTTTTTTTATCATCCTCTAAACATGTAAAAATCATGCTTAGCTTGTGGGCTATACACAAATAGGCCACAGGCCAGATCTGGCCCATCAGCCATAGTTGGTGAACACCTGCTTTATACCACTGCCAGATTAACCCTCCTAAAATGCATCCGTGGTCATATCACTTCCCTGTCTACTTTTTAATTGTTTGTTTTCGCCCACCAGATAGAAGTCAAACATTTTAGCCTGGCATCTGAAGCCCCCTCCCCAGATTGGTCCTAACATACTGTCCGAGCGCATCTCAACAATACTTTCTTATACGCCCTAATGCTTTTGCATTTTTACGCTTTGTCCTGTTTTCTCCACACCTGTTAAAATCCTAGCCATTTTTTAGGATCAGCATAACTGCCGCTTTCAAGTAAAGCCTTCTCTTCCCCAGTAAGTGGCTTCTCTTTGGAACTCTGCAAGTAATCTTTGCAGATGCCTCTCTCAGCTTGTTTATTGCCGTCTACTGGGTACTTGTAACTTCCCTCTAGCTTGTAAGGCGGTGGGTACTATCTCAAATGAGAGACCTCTTCATTGCATGGGACTCTAAGCATAATGCCAAACCAATTGTAGGTGCTCTGTAAATGTTTGCTGAGTAGCATATGATGGAGATAAAAAGCATAAGAAAGGATGTGAAGAAAATACGAGGGAAATCTTGTTAATAACAAGTTTTCAACAGTAACATAGTCCTGGATACTAAAATCCAAGGCTGGTGTACAGCAAGGCCCTGCTGCGTTCTTATCCCAACGTGGACTTTCTTTGATGGAGAACGTAATTGGGCTATTTCCATAGTGGCTTAGTTGGTGTAAGATTGATGTTATTCAGTATACAAGCTAATCTCTGTTTTGCTTAAAGATATTTCTTTTTTTATAATAGTCTAAAGAAAAATTGATTAACAGCTTAAAGGAAGGATCTGGTTTTGAAGGCCTCGATAGCAGTACTGCTAACAGCATGGAGCTGGAAGAACTTCGGCACGAAAAGGAGATGCAAAAGGAAGAAATACAGAAGCTCATGGGCCAGATACATCAGCTGAGATCCGAATTACAGGTAAGACTCGGTACGGCTGCGCTGCACAGCCAGCCACTGACCCCGGCGATTGGCAGGTGAGTGGCGGTGGAGTCTGTATTTTGGGGGAAGGGTGTTAGTGAGACGGCGTGTGGAACTGGTGTTAGTGGTCGCCATGTAGCAGTGCATTTAAGGCGATCAGTTTCTTGTCTGTCGATGGACTGTGAAGTCCTGGGAATAACAAACATATGTAGCTAACTAGATGCAATTGTTAAACAAATTCTTACCCTGTGCCTGCCGTGTGCCATGCATCGTGTAGGCTTGGAGTTACAGCAAGGAGCCAGACAGAATCTTCATATTTATGGATCTTATAACAATCCAGTGGTTAAAACACAAATGAGATTTGGGCTTGTCTATAAAACTGGGATATTTTCTGATACTGGAATGGACACAGGGACAGTCCCTTAATTATAGTTTCACGAATAATCTTATGATTTATAGTTTATGTGTAATTGCAGTTTTTAATCCAAAAGTAAGTTGGACCTTTTGTTTAGATTAAACATGGAGTCTTTGACGTAAATATCATAGGAGGAGTCTCTGAGAACGAGAGAAGGTAAAATATGCAGGCTGACAAGCCTTCTTTAAAAGAAAAAAAAAGTGTTAACTCAGCAAATTGTTGGTTCGTAAGATGTGCGTGACCTACAAAGGAAAGTGTGGAAGTAGTAAGGTCGGGTTTCTTATCTGGAGTATGGGCTTGAATATCAGATATGGAGAGAAGTCCCGTCTTTGGCACTTAGTAGATGTGTTACCTGCACGAGACACTTCATCTCACTGAGCCTTAGTTTTCTCATCTGTAAAGTGGAGATAAACACAGGTTTTCTTGAGGATAAGGGATATGCATCGAAGGGCCAAGCATTGTTCCTAACATGCGTTAGGCCCTCAACAAATAGTAGCTAATGTTACTTCTGGATTTCTTTCTTACTGGTAAAGTAGAAGAGCTGGTCCTCAAGGCTGTCATCCTTATAGTCTGTATGGTTGGATTTTTTTTTTCCCTAATAATTAATTTTGAATTCCAAAGAATTCAGTCCTGTGAACTTAGAAACTGAGTAGATGCTAATCCTGTTCATACCTTGTCTTATTCATCCATGTATTTGGGGTGAGATTATAAAAAATATGACTTGTTTTATTTAATATCCTTACCCCAGCATCATTGATGACATTGACCATTTCTCAAGAAGCTTATAAAATCTGCAGTAAGGATTATAGTATATCTAGCAAAATGGGAGAATTGTTAATGACTGTAATAGCTAAGCACTTAACTTGCCAGGCATTGCACTAACCTCTCAGCATACAGCCTTCCATTTATTCCCTACTGTAATCCTCTAAGGGAGATGGTATATTCTCATTTTACAGTTTGAAGAAATTCAGTCACAGAGAAGGAAAGTAGTTTCCTATAACTATAGTGAAGTAGCAGTCAGGATTAGAACCTTAGTCTGTCTGATTTCCAGAACATGTGTTTTGTTTTTGTTTGTTTTTTTCCGGAACATGTGTTCTTAACCACTGCTCATGCAGTGTCTGCCTCTCAAGAATTCGTCTGATTAAGTCAAACTGATGTCAGAGATTAGTTTACCTACTGCTAACCCCAAAAACTCAAGGATAGGGGAAAACCATTCTACTTATTGCTGCTTTCCTCTAAATCCACTAAGTTGTGACTATAGAGTATCACACTGGTATTATTATATGGGAGTATCATTAATCTGTTGGTTCTTTCAAACTGTATGTGAAATGCCAGAGTTTGCGTAGATGAATAAAAAACAGTGTACCAAAAGATAAAAAGCAAATTAAGATGCTGTTTTAATCTCTTGTAGTACTGTATGGATGGACACATGGTTAACCCATACAGGGGGTAAATATAGAAATCTAGAGTCATGTTCTTTGCCACTAGTAGATTCCACAGGAAATCGAGAAGGTGGTTTTTGACTTCGAAGAAGTGAGAGTAATGACACTAAGTGAAGCAGTAAGAAATAAAGATATAAAAACAGGTAATGGTAATAAAGCTTTAAAAGTGAAATAATAGGCTAACCTCAGGTGATATGAGAGAGAAGTTATATTCCTACCTGACACACACACACACACAAAAACTAACTATAACCTGCAATTCCAGGGGCCATCTTTTTGATGTTATATTTCTGTTCCTTTGGAAATTGTTAGCTTTTGGATAGAGCTGTAATTTCCCAATGAGCCACTGTTGACCCATACTCCTTCAACCACATGGTTCATGCGCCGTGGCGGCTACGGTGTCCTGTCCGTTTCTCTCACCATTTGCTGTATCATACAGTGAAGCGTCTGTTTATGTGCTCCTTTGAGGCTGAGACCATGTCTCACTCGTCTTTTTCCCTCTAGTACCTCCTGAGCCCAGTTCATGGTGCATAGTGATTACTTGGTAAATGCTGAAATGAACAGTTAATGATTGCTTTCACATATAAGGCTCATCGTTTTAGGATATGGAGGCACAGCAGGTTAGTGAAGCAGAATCAGCAAGAGAACAGTTACAAGATCTGCAAGACCAAATAGCTGGGCAGAAAGCATCTAAACAGGAACTGGAGGCAGAATTGGAGCGACAGAAGCAGGTAAAGATTTTATTTATCTATTTATTTTTAAATATTTTATTTACTTGAGAGAGCGAGCATGCACGCGAGTGAGAGAGCATGAGCGGGGAGAGGGGCAGAGGAGCAGAGGGAGAGGGAGAAGCAGACTCCCCACTGAGCAGGGAATCCGACGTGCGGCTCAATCTCAGGACTCTGGGACCACAACCAGACGCTTAACCAACAGAGCCACCCAGGCGCCCCGCGGGTAAAAATTTTAGTTGGATGATTACCAAGGAAGATGCTTTGCTGGTGGTCCTATGAGGAGACTCTCCAGTGAAGCAACTGACTGAAATTCTTACAGAATGGGTGTGGAGTGGTGATGGTAAATGGGACCTTCTAGTTCCCTCCTGTCTTGTTACTACCTACCCCCCTCACTGTTTATTTCACAGGTTAAAAATAGAGCCACGGAATGGCTATGAGACTTGCCTAACCTCACACAGTTAACTAGAGAATAGAATAGAACCCGGGATGCCTGTCCCAGAGTTCTTTCTACTATCTTGTCTGTGTTTTATTATATCTCTTTGTCACAGTGTGTATGTATGGATAACTTAACATCCGTTGATCTTCACATTTTATTATATTTGTACTTTCTAGGGACAACAGTAATATTTTTTTTTTTAAAGATTTTATTTATTTATTTGAGAGAGAGAGAATGAGAGATAGAGAGCACGAGAGGGAAGAGGGTCAGAGGGAGAAGCAGACTCCCTGCTGAGCAGGGAGCCCGATGTGGGACTCGATCCCGGGACTCCAGGATCATGACCTGAGCCGAAGGCAGTCGCTTAACCAACTGAGCCACCCAGGCGCCCCCCAACAGTAATATTTTTTAATAAAAATATAAATACAACATTAGTGTTGTAATTAGACTGCTGTTTCTGTTTGAGGAGAAATATTTATAGACTGTTCTTACAAATCATGTTTAAAATTACATTTCTTTGTTCAGTTAGCAGTTGTCTGCTCCCCAAACCAAATTATTTTACCTTAGTATACTTACATAATAGTTTTCTTATTAAAACAGTTAACCATGCTTACATCCACATTCTCAGAACAAGATGCTATATCTTATGTTAATAACATCTGTAACTTAATAATGATACTGTTATAGGCACTTAGTATACATGATCTTATTTTATCCTCACAATAAAATCTTATTCTCTTCATTTTGCAGAAAACTATTCTTATAATGATCAGTGCATCACTTATGACATTTTTAGCTTTGTGTATTTATATTCTCAAGATCTTTTTTATTAGGATTTATCATTTCTGAAACTGGTCTATTATCAGAAATGTTTGTTTTTATTACGAAGGTACGACTTAACATCTGTTTCCTGAGTGGTAGGAAAAACGATTGAGTAGCCACCTGCAGAATACATCATAAGCTGTCTTAGATAATTTAGTTATAAAAGTGGCTGTCCTTCCAGAAATTGCATTTTAATTTATTCCAGGAGCTATTATATATTGAAAGGCAAAAATTTGATGTTCTTGATAGTTAGTGAGATAATTTTCATTTTATCATGGCAGATAGTCTTCCTGCATCTGCTGCCAGTGCCCGTTTTTAAAATGAGTCCAGTAGAGGTGAGTGCAGCTGAATGTAGCTCTAGGCTATTTATTTAGTCATCAGATGTTCTAGGTGCAAGTGCTTAATCTTAGGATTAAATAGTCCTGTGGTGCTCTTTATTAATTTTAAGTAATTTCAACCTTAAATTTTGTGCTAGCCTAGAGCTTTAAAAGAAATCATGCAGACCTTTTTGTAAATTGCGGTTCTCCTACCCTAATTACTGCCTCATTTTCTCTGTTCTCACTTATCTCAGTTTTTTTCATCTGTGAAGTGAGCAGGTTGAACTAAATGTTCTAAAGTAGTCTAGCAGTTTGATCCTGTCTCCTGTTTACTTCTTCATACAGCTTCCTTTACTTACTTTATCTGCACAGTTGAGCATAATGCTTTTTTTTTTTTTTAAAGATTTTATTTATTTATTTGACAGAGAGAGAGACAGCGAGAGAGGGAACACAAGCAGGGGGAGTGGGAGAGGGAGAAGCAGGCTTCCTGCCGAGCAGGGAGCCGACGCGGGGCTTGATCCTAGGACCCTGGGATCATGACCTGAGCCAAAGGCAGATGCTTAACCGACGGAGCCACCCAGGCGCCCCAAGCATAATGCTTTTGAAGATTCTTAGTTAACTAATTATTCTTTCTTCCTTGGCATGTACTTTGCTCTTAAATTCCAACTGACACCAACTCGTCATATCCATTGTACAAACCAGCAGCATGTTTGTGTAGTTGTTAGTGAACCTGGAGGTAATTCTTTTTCCTCTTTTATCTATGATAGAACAAAACAGGTTCACGATACTGCCTGATAGAAATAAGTACATGAAGAGCTGCTCAGCACCATTAATTGTTAGAAAAATGCAAATTGAAACCACAGTGAGATATCAGGACATCTCCATGGAATAGCTACACTTAAAATTGAGACTGATGATACCAAATGTTGGGAAGGATGTGGAAGAACCGGACCTTTCTCATATTGCTGTGGGAAAGCAAAATGGTGCAGGGATTTGAAACCAGTTCAGAAAACAATTTGGCAAGTTTTTCCCTTTAAGTTAGACATAACACTTATGTGATCCAGCAGTTCTATCCCTACATATCTACCCAAGAAAAATGAAGACCTCTGACCATGGAAAGACTTGATACATCATGCTAGAGTACTGTTCATCAGACCCTTCCAAGTCTGTTCATTTGTTCATTTGGTATAGATGCGGCGCATGTTGGCTGAGTGCCTCCTGCGTGTCAGGAACTGTTGTAGGTACTGGGGATGAAATAGGGAACACTGATTTAGCTTCTGTTTATTCATGTCTCACTTTGTAGGAATTCCACTACATAGAAGAAGATCTATATCGAACAAAGAACACATTGCAAAGCAGGATTAAAGATCGAGAAGAAGAAATTCAAAAACTTAGGAATCAGGTGTGAATGAGTGTTCACAACTTGGGGAAAGATACCACTGCAAAGCTAATTTTTTTAAAGGATATAGAAAGACCTTCTTTTCCCATATTTTCAACGGAGTTCTGCTGTTACAACAGTGAGATGTTACTTTCAATCTGATACAGAATTTTCATCTAATGCCATTTTAGTCTGTGTTTGCTGTATTCTATGGCTTCTTCATCTAGAAGTGTCTTGCCATCCGAGGACACATGACTTACCCCAAAATTTCATACCTTTAACTTCAGTGGTGGTTGTGCTGATTGCCAGTTTCATAATTATCGTTTCTCTTTCCTAAGAAAAATCCAATGATAAATCTTCCTATTAACAATTGATAGGTCTTCCATAAAGGCGCCAAGACTTCTTTTTAACTCTGAAAATGTAAAACACAGGACATAACATGTGCCCACCACCCAGATTTACCAATGCTTATCATTAATTGTGACAAAATCATGCATCACTTATCCTGTAACTCTAGCTTGTCCTTTTCTCCCTTATGTTCACATTGTCCTTTATCCTTTATATTTATTGACTTACTAAATAATGAGCTCATTGGTCATTTAAATAATTTACATAAAGATTGATTCTTCATTTTTTAGTTAGCTGATGACTTAGTTTGAACATAAAAAGTCAAATAATTTTAGTTTTTAAGTTGTCAAATTTCATAGTAGTCCATAATTTAAAATATTTTAAAATATTTTAATTTTTGTAAGAGTTGGGAACATCTGATTTCAGTGTTCCATTCTTCCCTCGCCTACCTTTGTGAAGTGCTTATAAGTGGTAACATGACTTGTTAGCAGAAAGTCAAAAGAAAGGACCATAAACCACCAATTGGTTTAATCCTTAAACATTCCTTATTTATTAAATGTTTTCTGAGTGCCTACTAAGCATAAGATATTGTGCTATTTTTGTTAATTAAGAATTAATCTTAGAGGGATATCTCTTAAAGATTTTTTTATCTAAGTAGAATAGAGGAAAACCTTTGTCTCATAGAAGGAAGTTGATTTATACAATTTTAAAAAGAGATCAGCATCTTCATACATTGCCAAAAACAACGACCCATAAACAAGTGGCCAAATACGAATGTAATAAGGTGGTACTCAAAATCATCAGTCATCAGGGGAAGCAAATTAAAACCTCAGTGGGATATACTACTATACTGATACTCACTAGAGTGGAATAGTATCCCTGAACATCATGTACAGAGAGGTGTAGCAATTTGTCTAATGTCAGATAGCTAGAAAACTGCCGAGCAGAGGTGAAAACCTCGGTTTGTGGCCTTTGCACTGCACCGCAGCTGCTGAGTTATGGAGGGTTTTGAATCCCAGTCCAGAAGTTCACACTGTCCTGTGGATCGATGCTTTCAAATATCTTTGACCATGATGCCACAGTAAGAAGTAAAGTATACTTGTGTCTCGATACTCACATGTACTTAGAAATACAACACTAAACAGAAGTTTCACAGAACGGTACTCTTACATACTCTGTGCTGTGTACTCTCTGTCCCGTTCTGTTCTATCAGTATTTTAAAATGTGGATTGTGACCCACCAAATTGATTTTGTGGCCCGTTAATACAGTTTGAAAATCTCTTCTGTAGACAGTGAGTTTTGAGAAATTAAATAATGCTACACTTTACATGTGGGGATGTAGATTCTATGTTGTATGACTTTTACTTTATGTAATGATTTAATGAACACTTTGCTTTTCAGCTTACTAACAAAACTTTAAGCAACAGTAGTCAGTCCGAGTTAGAAAACCGACTCCATCAGCTAACGGAGACTCTCATCCAGAAGCAGACCATGCTGGAGAGTCTCAGCACAGAGAAGAACTCTCTGGTCTTCCAGCTGGAGCGCCTTGAGCAGCAGGTGAACTCTGCCAGTGGAAGTAGCAACAATGGGTCTTCCATTAATATGTCTGGAGTTGACAATGGCGAAGGTAACAAAAAAAGGAATTTGAAAAGAACATTGCATTGCCTTAATTTCCAACCTTGCTAATTCAGGCATGACTTTGAAAAGTTACAGAAAGACCATTTTTATTTGAAAAGAATCTCCATCCAGCAAAGCACTGCTTTTCTCCTGATGTGAGGCCTGAGCCATGCACTGTTTGACATGATCTTTAGCAAATGGGACAGTGGACTCCAAGTATGGGACTTGGAGAAGGGAGACCTGAGGAACAATGATCATAATGAAATATGTAGGACATTGAACAAGATATTGATGACAAGGCAGATAATTTGGCAGAAAGGGGCTTTGGGGGAAACTTAAAGGAAGATTTGTTTTAAAAATCTTCTAGTTCGTAATTATGAATATTAAAGTTAATAGTCATATAAGTATATCCATGCTCTGTAATGTCAATAGAGAAATCTGTAGATTCCCCAAATACATAATCAAGAAAAATGTTAAAAGATTTCCATATAAGCTTCAGCAGAACAGGTATTTAATCTTAGAACTTCATAAAGTCTACAAAGTAGTCATTCAGCAAATCTCTCAGTTCTTTGGCTTTAAATTAAAAGTTTTTTTAAGGGGTGCCTAGGTGGCTCAGTCAGCTAAGCATCTGCCTTTAGCTCAGGTCATGATCTCAGTCCTGGGATCGAGCCCCTCATTGGGCTCCCTGCTCAGTGGGGAGCCTGCTTCTCCCTCTCCTTCTGCCACTCCCCCTACTTGGCTTTCTCTCTCTGTCAAATAAATAAAATCTTTTTAAAAAAATAAATAGAAGTTTTTTTTAATTTTTAAAAAATAACTTGTTATTTTATCTATGTTTTTTTGATAACATGGTTGCTGTCAAAAGAAATCTCAAAAAGATACTAAAATCATCCAAGTAATCTGTTCCCCTGTCAGATAACATTTTGGAATATCTCCTTTCAGGCTTTTTTCCTATATATGTTTATATGTTTTATTGGTTTTTAACTTTTTCATATAAATCAATTTTCTTTTTTTTTTAAAGATTTATTTATTAGAGGGGAAGAGAGAGAGAGGGAGGGAGGGAAAGAAAGAGAAAGAATCTCCAGCAGACTCCCCACTGAGCGTGGAGCCCGATGCAGGGCTTAATCTAACAACCATGAGATCATGACCTGAGCTGAAATCAAGAGTCGGACACTTAACTGATCAAACCACCCACGCACCTCTAGAGCTTACTTTAAAAAACAAAAACAAAAAAATTTTAGTCTGTGACAAAATAGCCCAGAAAAAGATCCTAATTAACATATAAGAATTAAACATATAATAATGTCAGAAATCAGTGAATCATTGTGGTGCTAGACTAGCTGGTGAGCTGGGGGAAATTGGTTTAAAGTTAAACCTTCATTTCACTTGCACACAAAATTAATCCTTGTCAGATTGAAGAATTAAATATTAAATCGAAACATGGAAAAACTAGAAGAAAATTATGGTATTTCTGATTAGAAAAATGTTCAGTCTCACTAGTAATCACACACACCAAAGAAGGCAAAATAAAGCACTTTATTAAAGTCCCAAAGGAGGTAAGGTGATGGTAAACTAGAAGGAGGTCTGCAGGAAGAGTTTCCAGGCAAAGAGAAGAGCAGGTGCAAAGGCCCAGAGGTAGGAGCAGTGCTGGCATGTTGCAGGAACAGCAGGGAGGCCAGTGCAGCTGGAGAAGACTGAGTGAGGGGGGAGAGTAGTCAAAGGGAAATTCAGCGAACTTGGAAGAGACTGTTTTGGCCTGTGTACGGACTTTTACTCTGAATGAAGTAGGAAGCCATTGAAGGATCTGGAGAGGGGTGACTGCATTTTAGCAAGATGCCTCTGGCTGTCCAGAATAGACTGCAGAGAGCTGAGTGGAGGCGGGGGACCAGAGAGGAGCCATCATATTAATGTGTGTAAGGGATGGTGGCAGCTAAAACGAGATTGGGGTTTGCAGGGGTTTATCTTAAAGGAGAGTGGGTAGATTGGATGTGCAGTTTGAGAGAAAGAAAGGAGTCAAGGGTTTTGGCCTGAGCTGATGGAACAATGTTGTCATGTACTGAGATGGGGAAAATGGCAGGGTGAGTAGGTTGGCAGGGAGGGCAGGAAGTCAGAATCATGGTTTTGGGCACCTGAGCTTGAGATGATGTTAGACATCCAGATGGAAACAAAACAGACAATTAGATGAGTCTGGTGTTGGTGGTCCGGGCTGGAGATACAAATCTGGGAGTCATCAGCATTGTAGAAAGGGTGTCTGGCCTCTCTCTTGCTAGCACAGGAAGAAAGTGCTCATTAATATTGACTCTTGGCAGTACTTGGTATTTGTAAACCAATTTTTGCTAATTTCATGGGGAAATGATTTTTTTAGTTTTTTAATTTTTATTTTTGTGGATATGGAAGTTTAAATATTTTATGTAATCAGATTTATTTGTCTTTTCTTTATGGCTGCACCTTCTTTGTGTAATGCTTAGAAAGTTGGCCTTGAGAATTTCTTCCATTTGTAATACAATAATATATTCAACTATAATTTTGTGAGGACATTGCTTTTGGTGTTTGTACATTAATTCATTATTTTCTTGTTTAAACAGGCACACGGCTCCGAAATGTTCCTGTTCTTTTTAATGATACAGAAACAAATCTGGCAGGAATGTATGGAAAAGTCCGAAAAGCTGCTAGTTCAATTGACCAGTTTAGGTAAGCAAGGGCAGTAACGATGAGTGAGGGATTGTCAGCTCTTTTTGTACCATTTGCCGGTGGCTTCAGTCACAGTGAGTCTCATCAGGTATAGCTGATATATAGAGTGATATTTCCCTACTTCTTCTCACGATATTTCAGTCTCATGAGATTGCTCTCTGTGGTCGGCCACTGCTTGTGTCTCACTG